ATGCACCAAAGGGGTATGTTATTAACAACGATAGTACTCCTTCATCTCTGATGATCGATGACTCCTCAGGTGCTTGTTCTTTGGTGAATGGGGCAAGGACCGCAGAGATAGCCCTCAGTCAAACCTCACAAAGAAGTCCACCAATTTTGTCAACATGGCTACAGAGATAGGCGGCAGAGGGGGTAAGGGCGGTATGGTTCACGGCTTAAGGAGTCTTGGAAGGTCAGCTCTTTCACCGGTCTACTGAGTATACGAAATTAAAGCTGTCCCGTTATAGTTCAACCCTCGATATGGTGTATGTCGCTTCTGGTCAAGGCGATATCATGTTTGAAGGTTAGTCTACTATTCCATTTTGACCGAGTCGTGTGTGATAATTACCTCCAGCGGGATGCTGGGAGTGGGACGTCTGTGCGGGCATAGCCATCCTTTTACAGACTGGCGGCATTGTCGTAGATTCGAATCCGCCGGACGGTCTTTCAGACACGAGTCCTATCCCGATGGCTAACTTGGGAGGGCGGCGGTGAGTTGTGATCTTAGTTACTATTCACATAGCTGACCCGTAGTTGCAGATACCTTGCTATACGTGCGTGTTCTGAGGATTCCCAAGGACGTTCTCCGAGGACACAGCAGGAGGCACTGGTGCGTGAGGTGTGGAAACGGACGGAGAGATTGAATTATGAGCGACCAATGTAGCGGTGTAGAATTTTTGTCAAGTTTGTAAAGCATACTAGTACGGTATGATAGAGGCAGTCTGATTTGCATCTCCTATCTAGCGATATTCAGTGTATGTTCAGTTGATATTTAGTACGCCTAGACTGAAGCTGAAGCATTGAAGCCTCAGTACTTACTCCAGCCCTGCTCGTAGTCATTATGATGACGTAATCAAACGGAATGCTCCCCCACTGTTTTCGTCCATCACTACTAGCTGTTTTCACTCGCGGGCTTCGCAGCATTTCCAAGATGCCCATCATTAGATATATTACCAACGACGTACGTACTTGCTCGACTCTCCATTAGTGCACGCGCTAAACCTGGACAGGAACTCGCAGCAGTGATCAAGAGCGACAAGGTGCCTCACAAAGACTACCTCATCGTCGACGTCCGCGATGATGACTTTGAAGGCGGGAACATCAAGAATGCAATCAATTATCCCTCAAGCAATTTCTGGAATGATGTCGATGAGCTCGTGAAAAAGACAAAGGAGGTACAGTTGGTAGTGTTCCATTGTGCGTTATCGCAGGTTCGGTGAGTCGGCTGATCTTTGCAAGTGAAGTTGTGGCTGATGTTGGCGGTGGATTAGAGGGCCTAAGGCTGCTCGGATATATGCTGAGACGCGGCAGAACGTCCTTGAAGAAAGTCCATTGAAAGCCGACGTTGCAATTTTGAAGGATGGGTTCACACAATTCCAGGTCAAGTTCAAGGTACGTTGGCTGTAGAAGGCTGTATCATGAAGCTCATCATAGTATCAGGATGACGCCGAACTCGTAGAAAAGTGGGACAAGGACGTTTGGGCGTCTGAGTGGAGCTGAAGATGCTTTTACATTATTTATTATGTAGATGTAGATTCTTCGTGCTTCACAGTGCGTTTGGGGGTGCTCTCGATCATTTGAATGACCTTTTCGCGCTCTTTTGCTAAGCGGCGGTGGCAAATATACCTGTATGAGATGGAGATAAGTCGCGAGCAAAGTAAATCGGGCGAATTTTGCCCACCAAGACACGCCAGAAATTCCAACAAACGTCGTTATTGCCCAATGCCCAGCGACAATTGGAGCTGTCAAAGCGTTGGCGGGAGAAAACACAAGATATTAGAAACTACGCACCAGCAGTCGTCCCACGAATGAAGCCTACACCGACGCCGCTGACCAGTCCTTGCATGAATGCGTTCTTGGCGCATGGGATTTGAAGTATATTGGTCATGGACTGCTAATGGTTAACGTCTGTGGACAGAAGAAAAGAGAAAGCGTACATTATACACATCAGTACGCAAGTTCCCTGTCGGCTGGTGTACACCTGGGGGAGGTGGTATCGCTTGAGGGTCGGACGAAGGAGGTTTGCTCACATCGGACATTGGAAAAGGAAGGAACGTGATCGGGTCTAACATTCGCGACTCTTTCTTGGACTCTCATCATCACCTGCTGGGCTGCTGCCACTGTGTCGAACTCGCCATGGTCTACTTAGCATAAAAGTCACGTCTTGCTACGGGAAAGGATGAAGATGACGATATGCCTGTAATGTTGTCTCATCAACATTTCATCTTTCCTTTGCTGATCAAATTTACTGAAAATCATTTAAATGATGGTGAATACCCATTCTGTGACTTTGTTGGGGCATAAGGAAGGGTAGGACGGTGGATGAATATGTATAAGTAGTTGTTGTAAGTCCTTCTTTTTGAATTGCGGTCTTCCGTTGATGCGATTGGGATCAGATGGTTCTTTTAGTTCTCAAGACGACTAATATACAGCACTGAGGCATGCATACCGGTACATACGTTTTTTCTGGTCCGGCTCATTCATTCAACCCTCCTCAGGTGTATGTTCAAAGTGGAGAGATAAGACTCGCAGTTCGACAGAGTTCGCTGCCGATATCCTTGCAGGTCGAACTCTTTCATTCTTATCAATTAATCCAACTACAGTTTCTCAGTTTTTCACAGACTTACAGGGTCCTGGTTTTCGTTATTGACACGTTCAACAACTTCCACAGCCTCATCATAACCAGGAGGGCTCTCAATCGTGATGTATCAGGCTGGGAACTGCGGCAGCGTGCGGAAACCTTCGGTCACAACTCGCATAAACGCGCTTGTCACCGTCGAAAACACCCTCATTGCCTTCCGTACGCGTTAGCTACAAGTAAAGTGACGCGCATATTTCCTGACAGCTCGCGTAGACCTCGTCTACGTAAGGCCGCTCTGTTCCACCTTGAAGAACCTCCATTTGCTAGACCATAGCGAAAGTATACCACTAACTCCTGTTCTTTGCGGTTCAAACGTTCAAGCTCAAGCTTCAAGCCACGAGGAGATTTCTTCAAGCATTTTTATATCCTATCCCAATGCAGCCACGCGCTTTGCAAGCCTCCGTAGCCGTTTTAACTTTGGACCTATCCTGTCCTTGTATTTTCGGTCGTTAAGTCGACTTGTGCGAACATGTGTATATCATCATCGTGTCCCCAATAAGGTGCCTTAACGCAAGTCGGGCACTTTGTTCTGGCAAATAACCTTTGCAACATTTGGAGCCTACTCATTGACTCGGCTTTTGCTCACTGTGCAACTGGCGTGGTTCCTGGTACATGTTTTTCCCTGTTGCCCTAGCAGCAAAAGGAACCATTCCCTAATTCGTCACGGCAGGCCTGCTATCCTAAAGCTACATGTGAGTATGAAGTTTGTGTGATATCAGAATCAAAAATCGACCAAATTGTAGCAGATACAGTGGCGGTGATGATGCGTGACTTTGGGAGTAGGAGAGATAATTTACCTGTCAGGGTAGGCGTCGATCTCATTACTGCACCTATCACTGCCAGTCAGCTATGTCGCTGTGTTTCATCGGAATCGTTTTTATCTGGTTCAGAACCGGTGCCGAGCCAGTGAACGCTCCCCCACTCGTGAATAACTTTTCTCGTTGCTAGCAGCCAGACGTACGTACAATATCCTGCAGATGAATTATCATGGCGAAAGTCCATGCTGTGCTGTTTCTCCCTCTTTCAGCCGAGGATGAAGACAGATATACCAACCGCGGTGTATCTACTAAACCTGGCCTCTTAATTTACTACGCCGCACTTCGGAGCCAGGCAAAGTGAAGCTCCAAGGAAAATCCCTGGCTTCTATTCAGGCTGCGTCGCCATAGCAAGAGACACTACGCTGACTTGACATGATCTTCATAACAACTTGATACATTTCCAAATGATTCACGTAGTGCTGATCTTAACAACAAATAGAAAAACACGACACTACGACCGTCCCTCAAACCACGTAACTTCGAGTTGCACCAGTCTGACCGTATTCAGATACAAAATTATGTACAGCACGCTCCCCCCAACTATTACAGACCACAAGCGGACGCGTCAACCTGGGTCGCGTTAGCCTCCACGCTTCCGACTGCCGCCTGACCGTTGGTCAAATCATTCAATGCTGCCTCTGACGTGAAAATTCCGGAAACAGTGCGATCAATTGTCAACACGGTGATATTCCTATCGTTGTATGTCAACAGCCAGCATGTCCCGCAGTTTGTGCTGTTCCATCCGTCGACCACATCGGACGATGCGATGTAGGGGAAGTTGGGAAGGGAACTGTATGTGGTGTAGCCTTTGCTCTCAAGACCATTTTTGCCGTTAGAGCAAGCGACGTTATTTAGTGAGTTGTCGCCGGCGCCGTAGCCGGAATCCCAACCTACGGAGACAGCAAGCGTATAAGAGGGGATGAGGGCGAGAGCGATGGTAGAGAAAAGCTTCATTCTGGGTGCGGTTGGGTAGTTACTTCGGTGGGACAGGTTTGTACTGGAGATGAACGGCTGAATTTGCTAGATTTTATAGCTCGCAGGTGGCCCGCGTCGACAGCGAATAACACCGAGGTGACACACTGGAATCGAATCTCCCGGAGTAATCAATTTGCTCGGGTCATCGCGAAGCCAATGAGATGGAAGAGCAGTGCGGTCACAGGTCACCGATAGAGATCGTCGTACGTACTGTGTTGGCGCCCGTGCGACGTAACCTTTGGTCCAGAAGCCCTCGACAGGTAATCTATAACGCATGAAAGAACACCGTCGCCATGTCAAACAACACATCATTAACGCTCCCGCACTGTAATTTTTACCAAAGGTTTTCAAATCGAGGCCAGTGGTGTATTATTAATTGCATCAGCCAACTACCTAGGGATTGCAAATATGGGCAGACCGGTTAGACTTGCACTGCGGGTCTAAGTCATCAAAGAATTCGAAGTTCGGTAAAGCCTTAGGAGCTGCTTAGCTCAATGGAAGACATCTGATATAAATATTTATTCTAGTTCTTTTTAAGCCCGCCTAGCTCAATCGGATAGAGCGTCAGACTTTTAAGGCGAGCGCACAATCCGGTGCCTACTTGACCAATCTGAAGGCTGCGAGTTCGACCCTCGCGGTGGGCTAGTTTCTTTTGAACTGATTCTTTTTACCATCTTTCATTGTGAAAGAAACGAGACGACACTCGAAGCTGAAAAAACGGTGAACAAGGTATATTTTTGAAAGATCTGCAGTCCGATCAGGATATCGATCAAACTTTAATCGAACGCAAAGGCATTCCTCGATGTATCTTGGGGTGAAAGTATAACGGAGAGGCCCGTTACTTGTGCTACATTGGTTTGAAAGTGAGTGTGTATACGATGCAATCCTTCGAGTCCAGCAAGTTCAACGGAAATTTGGCTTCAGTCGTTCACGAATCGTTTGACTATAGGCGAGCTAACTAAAAATGGAGTCAGAAACCACCAAATTATTCTACATTTCCAGTGACAAAACCGCCTGAGCTTCTTTCTCCTGTGAACAGTTTGAAGGTTCAAGGACTACAAGTATGGTAGATACTAGATGAAGGAACAACTTGGTCAAGTCCCGCCTCGGATGGGCGCGGAAAGAGCGGGCCGCAATCCGCTCCTGTCTGCAACCCTTAAAGATGATCCCATGGCACGCTCAGCTCTTACCTGGACCTCATCCTGACGATTGCTATGGCACCTGTAGGTTGTCTTGTTATAGGTGCTGGATTCAGTGGTCTTGTTGCAGCCAGGCAGCTCACGGCGGCGGGACACTCTGTGCTCATCGTGGAAGCCCGCGACCGCATAGGAGGTCGGGTGTTATCGTACAAGGAAGGGCAGTCATACCCCGTCGATATTGGCTGTAGTTTTGTGCATGGATATGCAGAGGGCGTTCCTACTAGAAAACTGTTTGAAGATCTGGGAATCAAGATGACAGTCCCAGCACCCAAACCAAGTCTTTTTGTCGGTCCGAATGGTACGACGCTCTTTATATACAAGAAAATAACTAAACCTTTAATTACTGTGTAGGCCCAATTCTAGGGGCGCTCGCCGGAAAACTTCATGCTAATCTTGCTGAAGCCTCCAAGGATGCGCTCAAAGTCGCTCAAGGCGGCATGACTGAGGCTCACCTTTCCTTAGCTGACTCACTGTTCAGCAAAGGTTCAAGACTATTTGAGGGGCTCTCTGATACAGAAAAGCCATTAGCAGAGTCTCTGGCCCGCTGTTTGGAGGGCGGACTTGGTGCTACGCTCGAGCAGGTCAGTTTGCGGTGGAATGGATACGAGAACAGGTTTGCGGGAACAGACGCCTTACCAGAAGGAGGGTACCAGACAGTCACACAAGCGCTCCTGGATGTATCCATAGCATCCGGTGCAGAACTTGTGCTCAATGCACCCGTCTCGTCTCTCTCCCTCTCTGAAAATTCGGATTCCGTCACTGTAAAGACCACATCCGGCGTGTCGTACACCGCTCTATCTGTCATTTGCACAATCCCGTTAGCTGTGCTCAAGGTTGCCCCGTCATCCTTTTTCTCGCCCTCCCTTCCTTCACGCAAGGTTGCCGCCATTCAACGTACGCATGTCGGAACCTTGGCTAAGATTCTCCTAACGTACCCAAAGGTGTGGTGGGGAGAGTCGTATGGTGGAATTACGATCCTTCCAGACAAGCATTCCATCACGTCCGACCCTTCCGACCCGAGGAAACATCTGTCCTCTATCCCTTTGACCTGCGCGATTCTACAGACAACGATACTCATCTATGTAACCTGTGCTGCTGCCCCTGACATTGAGAAGATGGACAAGGGTGTTGTCGCCAACGCAGCTCATGAAATTCTGAAAGAAAAAATTGGCAAAAATGCTGATGTGCCTGTGTTCTCCCACTCCACTGTTACTAGGTGAATTATTCCTCTTTTGGCGCCGATATATATTCAAGTATGCTGATGACCATCCCTGAAGCTGGTCCGCCGATCCTTTCACATTGGGCGCGACGACTACCCCAACTGTCGTCGGAGATGAGCGTTCCCCCTTTGATTTCTTCGAATTATCACGTCCTGTTTGGGGTGGGCGTTTGGGCTTTGCTGGAGAGCACACGGATGTTGACCATCGCGGGAGTGTACAAGGCGCTACCGAGAGTGGTAAACGTGAAGCTGAGAGAGTTTCTCGGTACCTAGCGAGATGAGCTGGAGGAGCTAAACTGCCAGGGGAAAAGCTATAGTATGAATATGTAGCAGAGGAGTCAAATCCATTAACTTGTAAAACAAGGGGCTTAAAACATGCGACGAGAAGGCCACCTGGGTGACGTAGACCCATTCCACGACCCTTTATGAAGGTAGAGCCGTTCAATGGACGTGACTTAGTCGGTTCCTCGGTTATCGACCGATAAGGTTGCTGGGAGATAGATCAAATTTAAGGCATTTATAGTTCGCCTAACCAGCAGAGGTGACAGACGAACAGTCATTAAATGATAGTTACACACCTCGGAAACAGCAGTACCCATCCATCATGGATTGGCATTAGAGATAAGAGAGCATGAGTACATTGCGAACGTAGAGGATACACGGACCACTACCTAAGTCCTTACAAAACATTGCATCAATAATTTGTAACATGAACGAGGAAGCATTAGAGCATGAATTCGTCGAAGAACGTGATCGTAAAACCCATGAACGCATGATAAGAGTCGTAAATGAATAGATAGCTCGATAGCATAACAGATAGATAGCAATGTTAAGAATGCTGGAATCAAGAGAGGGTACAGATGTTGTGAGATGAAGCGAGAGATGGAGACAAATGAAACAATTCAATTATGAATTATGCATGATGGCGTGTTAGTCGTCGGGAGACAGATTTTCCAGGCACGAAAGCTTTGATGGCACGACGCATCTTTGTAACTGTATTTCGGCTTTCGTCTTTGAGCACAGGAGTCGAAGGTGTAGCGGGAGTGGTAGCGTATGCCATAAAACCTAGCTCGTCGACGGATGCAGCCCGCCTCACATCATCACTGGAAACTGGAGGGGGCATCGGGGTACGACGAACCGAAGCAAATGGTCGAGATGATTTGGGGCGAGTTATGCCTTGAGCTGTGTTGTGCACGGGGCCCGCATTATCCGACTGGTAGCCCTTGCCAAGACGTTTCACGCCGGACGTTGCCATGAGGAAGCGATCATATACGCCTTCCAGGCGGCGTTGACTAGGGGAATCGGGAGCAACGATGTTCTGAGTACTGGGTTTACGAGTAGGATACGGCTCAACATGTAGCGGCGATGAGGTCAACTCATCGAAAGACTTGCTGATAGGACTCGGAGTAGTGACTTGCTCGCTATCGAGAGACTTCATCGATAGAGCCGTTGTATCGATGAACATGTTTCTATTTAAAGGGGGCGACGGTGCAGACCTTGAGGAGGAAGGAGACAAGGGAGATGACATCCGCCTGGTCGGCGCCACATCCGTCGTCGATATAGGTGCGATGCGCATCTGCAGAAGATCTGCGTGGGATCTACTCTTTTCTCTGCGCTTGGAAGGGGACCCTGATTTGCCAAGAGAAGCTTCTGGGGAACTCGCAGACACAGTTGCCCTTCGTTTCTTTGTTGGTGTGTAAACCAGGGGTAAGCCTTGGTCTACAGGATTCGAGGCAACTTCAGACATGTCATACCCAGATGTGACAAAGGATGTCATTGTTGGACTGGGCAGAAGATGATCTGGGTCATCAGCAAAGATCTGATTAGCTGGGATAACTCGTCTAGGCAATCGCGACGAACGATTGCTCCGGTTCTGCGTGGACGGGCGTAAAGGCGCTGGCCTAGGTGTCCCAGGCGGTGATACAACTGGTGGGGGGAAGAAATTCTGCCTCGCATCATCGACAACTTCTGTCATGTCTGTCAGTGCAGTCAGTGTACTGCTGCAACAATTCACGTACTCTCTACATTGCGCATCCACACCGATATCCTATCTTGATTACTCGTACCGTGGTTGCCTGGCGCTTCGGTGGATGATTGCACTAGTAGAGCAGGAGTAGAGGCAGAAGCTCCTACAAGAATCGTAAGGACAGACCCTCTTGGATGAGAATAATCAACGTACCACCCAGCAGACGCGAGGCACCCCAAGACTCCTCTGCTGCAGTAGAGTTATCAAGAAAATCAATGGAGCAGCTTGGTCGTTTCCTTCCCGCTGCCTGGCCTAGCGTCGATGACTTGTATAGATTTATCGTTTTATCTATGATTGATGAGTAGGGAATGACGGAGAAAAGAGTGATAGTACCGATGGACGACTTGATGCTATGCTTAAAAACGTGCAGTGCCGATGTAGAGTCCTTCTTGAATAGAAGAGGAGAGCCGAATGATGTATTAGCTATTGAGAGTGATCAGTAACAGAACAACGACCAAAGTGGACACCAAACGCACCAGGAGTAGATGGTGATGCAATGCGCGATGGTGGAGGTGTCGGAATGGTAGTTGTTCTATTTTCCTTATCCGCCTCGCGGCTCTTTTGAGGGCGCCCAACAGCCGTTTCGCGGTGGTACTCATGCTCAACCTCTTCCTCCGAGTCCTCCAAGCGTGAGATTTCTCTCAGCTTCTCCCAGTCCTTCACACGTTGATTTACAAGGTTTTCCTTTTCTCTGCCTTTACCCTTTTCTCTCTTCACGTTACCCACATTAACATTCGTGCCAGTCACATCGCCAAGCACTCGTCCCCGATGTGGATCAGCTCTGATTGGAGCGGGGACAGGGCGGTTCCCAAGAATGCGCGAAGTGAGCGGTATGCGACTCTTAGGATCGACGTTCCGGGAAATGGCATGCAAAACTGGTTTAGCGGAGGGCGATGATGGTGGAGAAGCCTTGATTGGGGACAAATCGGTTAACGGAGGAACTGGGACGCGCTTCTTGGCATAGGTTTGAACTAAAAAAAAGTCTCGACGAATAGCTCGTGTTCTGTTAAACGGTAAAGCTCACTCTTCGACGCGATCGCCTTCGGATGAGATTTCGACCTTGCCACGGTACGATGTCCATCTGGTTCAGTGGCCTTCGACGACTTAGACGAGAATAAAGCTAGGGGGCTCTTCAGATTCTCTTTGCCTTTCGTTATCTGAGGTCGAGATGGTGTGAGATCAAGCTGCTTTGACATGTCC